GTCAGTTATCAAGCAGTCAAGCAGTCAAGCAGTCAAAGTGTTAATTCATTTATGTTTTATTACTTATAGCTTGGATTTTAAAAGAATGCAAATTGAGAGATTAACGTCTAAATGGAAAATATAAATCGTTATTTGCATTGTAATATTATACCAGTATAATTTTCACAATTTCCATTGCAATAAATGTTATGGCTGATGCAGAAATTTGGAAGTCTTTTGTAGACTAATATTTGAAGTTAGAGCTGTTAATAAAAGACTTACAATATGAAAATTTAAATTTTTTTTTTTTTGTTTTGTTTTTATCAGACTAATATGTATAGTTAGAGCTGTTAATAAAAGACTTTCAAATAGGGATCCCAAATTTCAGCGTCAGACGCGATAATTAATCTGAGGACGAACGTGAAGTTTGTCTTACATTGTCTATTACAGTATTATCACGAATTAGATTTAAATTAGAAGAAAGATACAATTATAGTTTTTTCGTGGATTCATAATAATAATATATGCCGTTTTTACTTGTTAATTAAAATTTATAATTATTATATAACATATCAGATATATTGTGATATACTCTCATTTTTCTCCGAATAAAAGTTCATTATATGATGAAATATGTGAACGGTATAATTTGGCGTATTAAAATATATAAATTCCACGTGTTACACGCGTCAAGGACTGTTTCAAATAACTCTAAAGATAATGATATGATAACTCAATTCTCGTTGCATATTTGAAGAGAAATATTGGGTTATAATCTGGATCGATGAGTCTCGAATAAGTCCTCTTTTTTCAAGCATGTTTCCATATGCGCGCAAAACGCGATAATGAAGCTCTGGATCGTCTTTACAGTAGTATGTAAAGGATTTTATATGATCTGATAGATTATTGCACTTTTCTAAAGAATCTGGCATCATTTCATGGAGCTACTAAATCTTTATCGCATCTGAAAATTCTGAATATTCGAGGGCCATACATAGATGATGACTTATTATTCAACCTCTCGAAAATTTGTCACAATGTTTTAACTCTTGATCTTAATGTTATGAATGGATATTTTAGAACAAATTTTGCAACAAATTGTCTGCCAAAGTTCATCAAAAATCAACATAATTTGCAAAAAATATACCTAGGGTGTTTCTATAAAGACATATCGCCGATCGTTGAAGCGTTGCAGACTCAAATTCATTCCCTCATCGATATCCAGTTTACGTCTTGTAGATTTTCCCAAAGTTCATTGATGGAATCTCTTATGACAAAATGCACTAAATTAAAAACCATCACGCTTAAATCACATTTGAATGAACTTAAAGATATGAAATTAATGCTACAGCCACTGGTCAACTGTAATCTGACCATGCTACGACATCTTTCACTTGATGTGTGGAGTTATGAGGATAGTCGGTTTGAAACCATTGCGAGATATTTGCAAAAAGTACTTGAATGTTATGGCAAATCCTTAAATCAATTGA